ATAAAAATGCCCCATATAGAATGGATAGAAAGTCTGCTAGAATAAAAGCAGAGTTACAAGGATATGGTTGGAGAGTTTCGAAGAAGTTTAAATATAGGAAGGGAAGACCCATAAAAGTCTATGACAAATTGTCTGGTCTTCGCTACGAAATGGATTTGGAAACAGCACGTGCCAATTATCCAAACAGACTAGAGAGGTTAGAAGAAGAACGTCTTATGAACATGCCTTTCGATGTGTTAAACATTGCATGAAATAAAAACGTTTTTCAAAAAAGTGACATTTTTTATTTTATTTGAAATGTACGCTGAGTTTGTTGGAGAAGACCGTTGGGAAACTTGTTTGTTAGATGAGAAATATGAAATGGCATACCATTTTAAAACAATATATTTTTACATATATTAAATGCTTCAGGTTGAAAAACAAAGAACAAAAGTAGCAGATACAAAACCGTTAGACTATATCTTTACAAATGCTGGTAGGACTATTTCAGATGAAGAAATTTCATCCCGAGCATCAGGTTTGACTATCCAATTCGTTGGCTTCAAAGTCCTTCAGATGCAAAGGCAATAGGATTTAGAAGAGTTTTGTTTTCAAATAGAACTAACGCATTTATGTTCGCAGTATATTTTCATGGGCAGTATAAAGGTTCTTGATGGTCTAATAGACAAATTTGATGAAATGAGAATCTTTACAGTTCGTTCAGACGAAAGTCTTGAGAAAACTCTAAATGACTTTCAAACTCAAATGAACAAATATTATTGGGAATTTCAAGAAAAATACGACTCTTTACTAAATGGAACATACTATCTGAAACTAGAATATGACAAGATGAACTCCACCGTTTCATTTCAAAAGATTGAAATTAACCCTCCAAGAGATACAGAGTTTTTATTTTGGAAAGTAGACAAACGTTCTTGGGCACAATTTCTTCGGTTACTAAACCAGAACGAACCATTACCACCAGATGGTCCATTTAAATTTATACTTCCACCAGCAGATTTGACAGTTTATAGAAACGTGTTTGACCCTCAAAATGTTATGTGTCATGCAAGTTTCAGTTCAAGCAACAATAGTTTTCTATGTATTGGTAAGGACTTTTATGACTTTGCTTCTAAATTCTACGAACCACCTAGTAACAGTTTCTCTGACTTTCAAGTTTGGTTCACAACAAATGGTGTGCAACATATTATTCCATTGTACTATGACTTTTATCTCGAATTGTCTTTCATATATAACTACGGAAAAGTACTGAAAAAGTATTGAAAAATAATGTTTATGTTAGCATGTTAGATCTAACACGTTTTCTAACCACTTTTCTAACATCGTAGAAAACTCATGAAAACAATTTATTTTTGACACTTTCACAAAAAACATAAAAAAAGTGAGTTAAAATGAGATGTTTACTGAACTGGTTGGATGTCGCCTTCACAGGTTATGTAGAACGGCTGACCCGAGAAGTGGAACAGTGCTCTGAGAATTTGTATAATTCGTGGAATTGGACTCTCTCTGTTTGGTATTTTTATCCGAGGACGTTTGTTTAGGAACTTAACAAGAGCTTCTCTTTTGGCGTCCTTTATGTTGTCGAAAGGAGTGCCTTCTGGTACGTCAATTGGAATTCCAGTCGAAATCTCGAGATTCAAGGCAGCCCTTCCAGAAATAGTGGTGAACTTGACCTTGGGCTTCATGACCTTGCGCAAGTAGTCTTTTACGCAGTCGTTAATTTCAATTAGGTAAACTGCCTCGTCGGTAGGTTCGACCTCGACCATTGCTACTGTCAGTAAAAGTACTGCTACTGTCAGTAAAAGTACTGCTACTGTCAGTAAAAGTACTGCTACTGTCAGTAAAAGTACTGCTACTGTCAGAAAAAGTACTGCTACTGTCAGTAAAAGTACTGCTACTGTCAGTAAAAGTACTGCTACTGTCAGAAAAAGTACTGCTACTGTCAGTAAAAAGGAAAATTTGAGATGGTTTTCGACGATAAAGTACTGCTACTGTCAGTAAAAGTACTGCTACTGTCAGTAAAAGTACTGCTAGTAGCAGAGATTTTTATCGTTGGTGGTCCGACGGTTAAGCCACAAACGAATGTCCGACGTCCCACCAACCCTTGGTTGTTCCAGCAATTCCAATCTCAATCCAAATCGAAGAGAGACCAAGAGTTCGAAGAAGGTCTGAACCGCTTACGCAAAGAGTATGCTACAGCTCCAATTGAGAGAAAGTTGTTCCCGGACCAAAAAATAATGTTTAGGGTAGATGGTTAGATCTAACCTCATTTCTACCCTCATTTCTACCCTCATGAATTTTCATGAATTTTCATGAATTTTATATATTAATGTTTTCGTTAATTTAAATTAGGTAAACTGCCTCGTCAAATCCTTCTGGCATTCCGAGTCCTTCCATCCGACAGGAAAAAATTTTCCCGACAACTGGAAAAAATTTTCCCGACAACTGGAAAAAATTTTCCTTCCGACAGGAAGAACTCTTCCAGTTGTCCGTCCGTAAACCATTCAAATTTTCGAAAATTGAGAACTTTTTGGTCGAACTTCAGAAAATGTTTTTCCTTCCAACAGGAAAAAATTTTCCATCCGACAGGAAAAAATTTTCCATCCGACAGGAAAAAATTTTCCCGACAACTGGAAAAGTTCTTCCTTCCGACAGGACACAAACGAATGTCCGACGTCCCTCTTCCTGAACGCCTTCCCAAACCAGAGGAACCTAAAGCACCAGCCCCTGCACCTCAGTTCCAGCAAGTACCTCCGAATTACTACCAATTTCCACCTCAAGGTTACTACCCACCACAAGGCTTCCCGAACTACCCTCCTCAGCCTATGCCTTACTGCCCCAACCCTTGGATGTTCCAGCAAGCTCCACCCCAGCAATTCCAATCTCAATCCAAATCGAAGAGAGACCAAGAGTTCGAAGAAGGTCTGAACCGCTTACGCAAAGAGTATGCTACAGCTCCAATTGAGAGAAAGTTGTTCCCGGACCAAAAAATATAATTTAGGTGAAGAGGTTAGATCTAACCTCTTTTCTCACCTCTTTTCTACCCTCATGAATTTTCATGAATTTCCTTAAGATAGAAAAAATAAAGTTAGTTTTATACAAAATTCATGCAGGAAATTCTTGAGTTTTGGTTGAAAGAATACGGTGGAGCCAAATGTGGCTCGACCTCAAAACAAGCATTTTATGAGCTTACAAAGGGTGTTATGAATGAATTCAGCAACATACATCCTGACCTCGTTCATTTTGTTGCTAAATTCAGTAAAAATATATTTTAGGTGAAGTGGTGAGATCTCACCTGTTTTCTCACCTCTTTTCTCACCTCTTGAATTTTCATGAATTTCCTTAAGATAGAAAAAATAAAATTAGTTTTATTTTGTATTTTTTTGTATGTAAAGATATGATTTCAGGGATTTTTTTGACGAAGTGTTACTCTTCACTTCGTCAAAAAATAACAGTTATCTAATGAAAAAGTGTCATTTTTTGTATTTTTTTGTATAAAAGATATGATTTCAGGGATTTTTTTGACGAAGTGTTACTCTTCACTTCGTCAAAAAATAACAGTTATCTAATGAAAAAGTGTCATTTTTTTGTATTTTTTTGTATTTGACGAGAATGTCGGGTAGATGGTTAGATCTAACACGTTTTCTCACCTGTTTTCTCACCTCATGAATTTTCATGATTTCATCGTACATGTTTTGTCAAAACTTCTTCGTACATGTTTTGTCAAAACTTCTTCGTTTATGTTTTGTCAAGACTTCTTCGTACATGTTTTGTCATGATTTCATCGTACATGTTTTGTCAAAACTTCTTCGTAAATGTTTTGTCAAGACTTCTTCGTAATGAGCGTAAATCAGACAAAAATATATTTTAGGTGAAGTGGTGAGATCTCACCCGTTTTTTCACCTGTTTTCTCACCTCATGAATTTTCATGATTTCATCGTACATGTTTTGTCAAACATGAACGTACATGTTTTGTCAAAACTTCTTCGTACATGTTTTGTCAAAACTTCTTCGTTTATGTTTTGTCAAACATGAACGTACATGTTTTGTCGAAACTTCATCGTAAATGTTTTGTCAAGACTTCTTCGTAATGAGCGTAAATCAGACAAAAATATATTTTAGGTGAAGTGGTGAGATCTCACCTGTTTTCTCACCTGTTTTCTCACCTCATGAATTTTCATGATTTCATCGTAAATGTTTTGTCAAGACTTCTTCGTACATGTTTTGTCAAAACTTCTTCGTTTATGTTTTGTCAAACATGAACGTACATGTTTTGTCAAACATGAACGTACATGTTTTGTCAAGACTTCTTCGTACATGTTTTGTCAAAACTTCTTCGTAAATGTTTTGTCAAGACTTCATCGTAATGAGCGTAAATGACCAAAAAATATAATTTAGGGTAGAAGGTTAGATCTAACCTGTTTTTTCACCTGTTTTCTCACCTCATGAATTTTCATGATTTCATCGTACATGCTTTGTCAAGACTTCTTCGTACATGTTTTGTCAAAACTTCTTCGTTTATGTTTTGTCAAACATGAACGTACATGTTTTGTCATGACTTCTTCGTAAATGTTTTGTCATGATTTCATCGTAATGAGCGTAAATGACCAAAAAATAATGTTTAGGGTAGAAGGTGAGATCTCACCTGTTTTCTACCCTCATTTCTACCCTCTTGAATTTTCATGAATTTTCCCGAAATAAAAAAATAAAGTTAGTTTTATTTTTTTCATTTTTTTGTATTTTTTTGTATGTAAAGATATGATTTCAGGGATTTTTTTGACGAAGTGTTACTCTTCACTTCGTCAAAAAATAACAGTTATCTAATGAAAAAGTGTCATTTTTTGTATTTTTTTGTATTTGACGAGAATGTCGGGTAGAAGGTTAGATCTAACCTCATTTCTACCCTCATTTCTACCCTCTTGAATTTTCATGAATTTCCCCGAAATAAAAAATAAAGTTAGTTTTATTTTATTTATTTTTTTTTATTTTGTATAAAAGATATGATTTCAACAATCGGCACAACAACAATTCAAACAACAGCACCAAACTCGTTAGTCATGAATCCAACATCTATGTTAGTAGAAATGAAAAGCTTCATTCCTTCTTCATATACTTTCGAAACAAAAATCCAGAAGATAAAGCAAGAACTTTTAACAAGTAATTTAGACTGTAGTGCGAAAGATGAAACAAATGAAGAATATCTTTATGAAATGCAGGACATTATTGACCATTTGCCTAAACTACCTGAAATCCAACAACAAAAACTCACTATTCCTGAATTCGACGAAATTGAAGTGAAACCAACTGACTCAGTAGAAATAAAGAAGTTCATACGTAAGGTAAATTATGAATTCCTTGGTTTTCATTGCAACCATAAGGTTATGGACAAAGATTGCGATATGGTATATAAGAATGTTTCTGACATATATAAATCTGAAGAATTTAAGACCTACGACAACTTTGTTTCGTTAGTTGCTGAATGTGTTTGGGAAATAAGAGATAAAGATAGAAGAGGCAAAGTATGGAACGAACAAATAAGACCCGCTATGTTTGAGATGAAGAGAGCAATTGACGCCTTAGTTGTTTTAGCAGGTAAGGTTTCAGAATATAACGCAAAAATGAACCCGCAATGTTCTAAATGTAAAGCAGCAATTAGGAAATATAACTACTCCGTCAAAGAGATAGAACGTATGAGAAACGACTATGCAGACTTAAAGAAAGAAGCAGAAAAGCCAGCAGAAGATAAAATGGACATGTTAGAATTTCTGAACAAAAACTATCCAACAGCAGAAGATTTCCTTCTATCTGACGTCAAGAAGAAGTATAAAGAAACTTTCGGTATCGTTAAAACATTCGATGTACTAAAAGAAGAAATAGAAGCTACGAAACTGTTTAGAGTCTCACGAATTCATAACGTTTACCATGTGAAACGTTTATAAAATAACTGGGGTAGAAAAGAGGTTAGAAATGAGGTTAGATCTAACCTTCTACCCTAAACATTATTTTTGCTGAATTCAGCAACAAAATTCTGAGTAAAATAATTTTTAGGGCATGTGTCAAACCGTTGAGTTTTCACAAAATTTTAAAAATAACGTTTACCATGTGAAACGTTTATAAAATAACTGGGGTAGAAAAGAGGTTAGAAAACAGGTTAGATCTAACCTTCTACCCTAAACATTATTTTTGTCTGATTTACGCTCATTACGAAGAAGTCTTGACAAAACATTTACGAAGAAGTTTTGACAAAACATTTACGATGAAATCATGAAAATTCATGAGGTGAGAAAACAGGTGAAAAAACAGGTTAGATCTAACCTTCTACCCTAAACATTATTTTTGTCTGATTTACGCTCATTACGAAGAAGTCTTGACAAAACATTTACGAAGAAGTTTTGACAAAACATGTACGAAGAAGTCTTGACAAAACATGTACGATGAAATCATGAAAATTCATGAGGTGAGAAAAGAGGTGAGAAAACAGGTTAGATCTAACCATCTACCCTAAAATATATTTTTGCTGAAAAATGACCAAATTTCATGAATTTCCTCATATGCTTGCTTCCCTCGGAAAACCGAGAGAAGAACAGCGAGACCGACTTTTATCTGGGTCGCCAAAACTCTATGAAGATGTGAAACAAATAGTTCAAGATACGTTACCTCAAACACACTATGATATGAAAGGTTGTACAATACTTACATTCAAAGAAGACTTACCGCTACTGAAAGAAAAAATAACAGAGTATTTTGACAACTTCAAACAAGTAGGGTAGATGAACTCTTTATTTTTATTGACTTTTTACAATTTGAACTTTGTTTGCGTAGATATGAATTCTGAAAGAAGTATGAGGGTCTTGTATGACTTTGTACTTCTCCCATAGTTCATGTCTGTCAAACTTACCTGCCATGGACTCTTTCATAAGTTCCATGAAATCGTCTTCGGACAATCCGGGGAAAAGTATAATGTCAGTAAGTATTCTTTTAACATCCTTACTTAAACTCTTTGCTGTCTGTACACATATTACGACTGAGATGTTAAAGTGTCTGAGCTTTTAAGAATTCGACACATGTCTTGTTCTCTGTTCTTTAACAAAGGATGAGAAGCAAAGTCATCTAAGATAAGAAGACATCTATGAGGGTATGTCTTCCAATCGTAAGATTGCAATTTCTTCGAAATGTATTCTATCTCTTTCTGTTTGTTTCTGAAGTGTTTCTTCTCTAATATTCTCTGCATTTCCTCATTTGGGTCTTTAAACTTAGAATTTATATACTCATTTATAGCATTATACTTCAAAACTCTTCTTTGGTACTTCTTTATCCAATCTAACAACTCAGTATCCTTTATACATACTAACTTAGACTTCTTTATAATATCTTTGAACGAATTGACGGTTTGGTCAAATTGACCAGAAGTACTACAAATAACAACTAACTCATAGAATGGGTTCTTCTCATCTAGTTCTTGTTGTTGTGCAGCCATTTTAAATAAGTGAAAGTCTTACCCGACCCAGGTGGTGCAATTAGACCTGTTATACCATTCTGAGCAAATAAGAACTTGTCATGTATAGGCTTTATCTGAGCATTTTCTAACTTTCTCTTGTTCTTATTTAAAACATTCTCAAATTTCTTGTCAATGTCAGCAAACTTTTTTTCTAACATATTTTAGAAAAATTAAAATTTTATCTTTTAGAAAAATGTCCAGCGATTTCGCTATCTATGTCCGTGACAAACTTTTCGACAGCAAAACATCTGTCGACCATAAAATCTTACATAGTGTAAACAAGAAAGGTGAATTTGTTCTAAAGTTCTGTTTCTGGGAATATGACAAGAACCATAAAACATTAAGCAGAGCAGTCTTAAAATTTGTCAATGACAGACTTGTTGACAGAGATGACGCCTCTTGGAGAGATGAAGTCCAACAAAACTTCTTAGAATGCAAAGAAGACACATGCGCTGTTTCTTGAAGATGAAATAGAAAACAGAATAGATGAGCTATTAAAGGACAAAGAACTTTTTACATAAATTAGTTGCGCCAAATTTGACATAACTCCACCAGAAAAGAAGAAGAAAGAAAAGAAGAAAAAGAAAGTAGAAGAAGAGAAGAAAGAACCTGAACCAGTTCCAGAGAAAAAGAAATTTGACATGTAAAAATAAAATTTTATTTTTAGAACATTTCTGGGTCAATGTCAATGTTCTCTTCCTCTTTAGGGGCAAACACTGGCTTAGACTCTAAAATCTTTTTACCCAATTTACCTTGAACTTCAACTATCTTAGACTCATAATATTCATAGTCGTCTGCTTTCTTTGGTTCATAAGGTATAACAAGTTTGTATGCTTTGCCTTCTTTAAGGTTTGAGAACCTTCTGTCAAAACTTTCTTTGACTGTTAACAAACCTTCTATGTCTAAGTCTTCAAATTTCGCACCATTTTTAGTCACAATAGCAAACTTAACTGGTTCGATGTTCCAAACTTTGCTGAATGAAGACTTTTCAAAATGGTAGAAGTAAACATTCAAATATGTGAATGGGTCTAGTTCTTCTTTAAGTCCTGACATGTACTTGTTTACTGAGATGAATTTTGTCATCTTTTCTATCGGATAAAAAAATATTTTTTTTTAAATTTACTCAGAAAATTTTTTCTTTGTATATACACCATTCTGAACATCTAAAAGACTTTTGACATTTGCCAAGAATGTACGTTTAGAAGCTGCCATATAACCATATTCTTGACAATATTGTTTATATTCATCATATAAAGACTTTTCATCTAATGACACAAAGTCAGTTTCATCTATGAACAGTTCATATACACTCTTGTTTGCTTCTAACAATGTTTGTCTCTCTTCGGTATGTGGAATTTGTCTTGGATTGAACTTAGAAATATCTAATGTCATGAAATATGAGAACAAGTGGTTGTAAAAGTCAGATGTCAAAGTTTCTGCTAAGTCGTCAAAATATTCTGTATCTTGCATATGAGAATCTGACGTTCTGACAACTACATATCTTCTGTCAGAACTTTCTAACTTCATCGGAACAACATTGTTTGAAACCATATATGAAGTTTGCAACATTTTCACAAACTCTTTGGTCTTTATACTTTCTTTCAACAACTCCAACTTTGTCTGTTATAAGACTCTTCAAAGCATCTGAGTTCAAAACTTTTGTTGTATCTATACTTTGAAGTTCATTGCAAAACTATAAGTTTCATATTCTCTATTGAGGAGTTAAACTTGCCACAGATGTTTTCTAAGTTTGTCATATTAGGGTTCGAATAACCTTCTAACAGTTTGCATAAAGATATCTGTAAAGAAAGTATTCTTACCAGTTCCTTGTTTTCCAATTATAATGAGAGCAGTTTCATTTTTAGCACTTGGATGTTGTAAGATATTTGCAAACCAACATAAGATATACTCATAGACTCTTTCGTTTCCATTGCATATAATTTCTTTGACATGGTCTACCAAGCTTCTATAATACTGTGTTTCCATTCTACTTGTTCGTATTTATATCCAGTGAAGATAGAATAGAAGTTTGGAGAAGGTGTATAAAACTTTATACCTCGAACTGAAAAATCTTCTAACTTTGACATAAGATATCCCAAGCATCTAACATCTTCATTCCAACTTGTACAACTTTTATTTTCTTAAGTTTCTGTCTACATTCTTGTTCTGAAACTATTGTTGCTCTTGGTTTGTTAAAGACAACATCCCATTCTTTCATGACATAACATTCTGGGGCAGAGTCAACATAAATGACTAAAACGTTTCAAATTCTCGACTGCTTTGTTATAGTCTCTAAATGGACACATATTTCTGAATGCTTGGAAGTCATAAAAATCTGAAAACATCTATTCTGTACATTTTTATAAAAATAAAAAAATATTTTTTTTTATTCTTGACTTTGTTGTTCCATTTGTTGCATTTGTTGTTCTTGAGCTATTTGTTGTTGAAGTTGTTCTTGTAATACAATACTTTCACCAGTTGCATCTTCCAATTCGAAACTTTCTGCCGTCATTGACAAATACATAGGACATAAAAGTTTTACAGGAACAAAGTTTGCGTCAACTAATGTCAACGTTATACTTGCCAAAGTGTTTGAGTTCACTAAGGTTGAAAATTCTGCATTCGAATGAACAATAGGCAAACCAGCAGAGAAAGTATTGTTTATACGCATAAGTATCTTTTGGTCATAATAGTTTCTGTCGACATTCGAATAACACTTTGAACCTAAGTTTGAAACAATATATAAGATTGGTGTGCTTAATGTCAATGGAATAGACATTCCTTGTATGACACCTTTTCCTGTTATAGGAAACTGTTGGTAGTAAAAACCAGAAATAAGTTTGTATTATAGCTCATATCGTTTATAGTAAACTCAGTCGGACATCCAAACATAATGAAACCTGCTCTAGTTGCAGCACATGTTACACCCGTACTTAAAGTATTAATAAGTCAACAAAACCTGTTGGTGGTATATCTGAGTAAGTATCTTCAAAGGAGTATTTTTTACCATTCACAACAATAAAGTCTTCTGGTGTCAAAAGAGCAAAACAGGCTTTAGTCGTCATTGTGTTTAAGGTTAGTTTACAATACCGTCCTTGAGGACTTTGTAAGTTTGTTGTTATAGAATTATATGATTCAGGGTTTTTAGTTGTAATAGTATAAACCATTATGTCTTCTGCCATTTACTTAGCAAATAAACTTTAATGAAATGTTGTGGTCGTCAAATATTTTTATAACGTCTGGGAAACTATATTTTAAGTTCAACGTTTCACCTCCTTTCATAACGTATATCTTGTCAATGGCATTATATGAAACACCACAGCAACTAATGTCGGGTTCTATTTCTTTGATGTTTATATCGTCTGCCTCTGTCAAAAGTTTCAATAGTTCTTTCAAAACTTCATGAGGTGCAATGACATATGAGTTCACTTTTACAGGGTT